CCCCCCCCCCCCCCCCCAAAAAAAAAAAAAAAAAAAAAAAACAGTATCTTACAAGGAAAAGTCACTGATCGATATGTTCATCTTCCTCCTGTGCATTAAAACTACTAAAGTCTTCTTCAGTGTCAGAATAGAACAGCTTCAGAAAAACTTTGCACACGTCTTCAGTCTCTCTTTCAATGTTGAAAAAAAAACAGTAGTCTACCAGGAAGTCATGATCGCTATATTCATATTGCTCCTGCTGCAAGCGTGTGCTCCGCGGAGGAAAAATTGCTCTGTACATGGGGGAATTCCCCCCCTCCCCTTTCTCTCCTCCTCTCCCATAACCCGTTTGGTAATTTTATTGGCCAGATTTTATTTTTTGACTTTTATGTATACAGGTAGTCTCAATGAGACACGAGGACCCACCCCTGAAGAGAGACGTGTATTGGGGATGTGACGAGGCTAAATGTTTTTGGCGGCAGGAAGCTCGTTAGCCCATTAAAAAAAAAATCCATGAATTAGCCATAGCATTGTATAAACTGCGGGGTTCAAAGTGTGTGGAAAAAAAGTAGTGGCTTATAGACTGAAAATTACGGTAACTCATTTAATAGTTTTCTGAGTTTAAAACATAAAAAAGAGTTATTGAACATTTAAAAGGCACAATGAGCCAAATTACTCATAAAAAAATAAGTGATGGGAAAGCACTTATTGTCCCTACTCACATCTGATATTTGTTGGTGCTTATTTCTCGGACCAGGTTCAGGTACAGGTTCAGTGTAATGAGGCAAACCCAGGCCAAGGCACTCCAGTCTGCAGAGACGCACACAGAGAAAAACACCAAGGTCAAACTACAGCGCAGCTCGCTGCCACACAGCACCCATTTGCAGCCGCGTGGTCAAACACGCACGTGCTTGTATATGATGGAGTGTGTGCATGCGTGCTGCGTTTTGATAAATGAAGGCCCGTTCTGCGGTAATATGAGGGAAACCTGTAGCTTAGGGTGATGGATGAGAGGTGGGCGCTCACGGAGAGATAATGATGAACTGTGAAAAAGCAGGAGGAGATAACACGCGAGTGCGAGCTGTGGAGGCAGGAAAAATAGAGGTTAGCGAAGTAAGGGGATGATGGTGGCAGAGTGGACTACAATAAGTGTTAAGGAACACATGAAAAGAGGACAATACAGATGAAGAAAAAGAAAGGAAAATCTAGAATATCAACCTTTCTTTTCCTACCTGAATATTCAGCCTTTTCACATTTTGTGTATGCATGTGTGTTTTAGTTTATTTGAATGCAGCCTCTGTGAAAACAACCACCCCCTGCAATATATACCATATACAAATACACAAACCAGGCTCCTCTTGGATTTAAGGAACCTTAAGGATGTGCAATGGATCCAGTAGGAGTGGTATTACTAAAATATGTCACAATTACTGTCAGAGTAAATGTGTATTATATAAGGAGAGAGCAGCCAAAGTCTTTTCTTTAGTTTGAAATTACAAACAGCTCAGCTTCAGCACCTGTCCGGGTGCTGCCATTCTCCACAGTTTCAAACACAGTTAATATAATTTAATTTGTGGGTTTAAAAGCAGCGCTGGGCTGGAACGCAGCCATCGTTCAGCTGATATTTGTGCAAATTCACTTGACCTTGGCAAAAGAATCCCCTTGACTTGCACCAACCATTCAGAAACAGCTCATGGCCCATTTCTAAATGACTCTGACAGGGCCAATAAAAAGTAGGATTCTTTTACACTCGTCAGGACCAAAGGAGCTGAAACTGTAGTGCCAGATATGCAAAGTAAATTTTATCGGTTAAAAGAATGTGCACCAGAATCGTTAAGAACTTGTTTGGCTTTGCTACGGATGCTTCCAGATAATTCCAAGCCAAAAAGAAACGTTCTGTACTGTCATTGGAGGATAGTCGTCTCCTCATGCTCAAGCCGCTGATGAAATAATGAGATGTCTGGTTCTGGGCGTTTCACAGAGTCTGACTCACTGTACCCAAGGTGGAATTCCTAACGTAGGTGTGAAAGGATGACTGAGGTTAACCACTTCTTGCCCAAATATAGCCTTCGGTTTCATAAGAACACAGAGATAAGGTGTAGCTGGGAAATATATGTAATAAAAGACAAGAAGTTAAGTTACAGTCATGCTAGGAGAGAGCAACTATTAAATCACTCAACAAAATACGTACAAAACAAATGAAAATTCAATGCTGAAAGTTTATATTCAAGTTCTTGATGTTTTACTTTTGGTTGCTCCCCTCTGTAGGGATCGTCACCGTGAGTAAACTCAAATGAGAGATTTGGCAATTGCTTTATACCGAACACCCTTTCTTGATGCAACCTGGGCCTCAGAATTACCATATTTGCCGGCCTATAATTTAGAGTTTCTTTGCATAATTTGCATGCCCTGCGACTTATACCCAAAGCGACTTATTCCACCCCCACGTATTTATAAAACCAATTTTTTGATGATATGACCGTTTTCATTCATTCTGACGTTAAAAATATTGAACACTACCGTTTTAAGCCACTAGATGGCACTCGAGTTGTATGGCATGCCGCTGTGTCATGTAATAGGTAAAAGTGGCTATTAATGACACAATCGGCTTGCTACAGCTGCCACCTTCGTCCAGCTCTGATATCACGCCTGGAGCAACCGTAAAATCGGCTTCATTTCGCTGCGCCACCCCAGCAAAATGCAGCTAATTTGACCACTGAAGTGCATTTATTAAGTAAAAGTTCAGCTAAAACACAACTTTGCTATAATGTTGAGTAAACAAATAATTGTTTTTAGGTGGTTATCGTGTTAAATTTCGAAGAAATGCACAGTGAGTCATCCTGCTTCCACGAATCGGCTTCCGGAATGCAACTAATTTGACAATTAAAGTGTATTTATTAAGGAAAAGTTAAATTGAGACGGACCTTGGCTATAATTTCAAGCAAACAAATAATTAGTTTTAAGTGTTAATCTTGCTAAATTCTTGTTAAAGCCCTCCCGTGCACGCTCGCCACGGGAGCAGCAGCCAATCGATTTTTGGCACAACACCGGCCCACATTTCCGGGTTGTCAGCGGTGACGCATAACAGATGCAACTTATATGGTGAAGCGATATATGTATGTTTTTCCACTTTATTAGATATATTTGGACTGATGTGACATATACGGCTGTGCGATGGGTACAGTGGAAAATACGGTACAAGACGACGGCATTGACCTCTGAACTGCTGCAGCCTCAAAGATTTTAATATTCGAGAACATTCTTGAAATGGTCAAAATAATCTCCAAATCTCAACCTCCTCATCGGTATTTCTAAGCACTAAATTCTAGTGGTTTGACTTGACACCAGTGACTCAGCAATTGTTTTCCTTAAACCTTATGCAACGTACAGTATTCACGCTCTTACCTGACAAATGTTTTCAAACTGATAAACTGTAGAAAAAGTTGATCATTTATTTTGCTATCTAACAACAAATATTTCATAACAGTCCAAGTAAACACTGTACTCTGGAGGTTTTATTTAGTGTCAGCTTTTCTTCAGACAGGTGAACTAATCTGGTCAGAGCGACTCGCTCTGTTATGTAACGAAGTACTGATTAAATCACTCGTTGTGTCGCAACACGCATAGTTTTTGGTGTGCACAGCAAACTCATGCAAAGGTTTTGCAGCATTAAAAATCTAAATTAAGCAGCTATAATGCTGTTAAAATTGGATTTGTTCCAGATAATAAATTATTGTTTTTCGTAATAGTTTTGGCTCCCTCATCCAAAATCCACTCAGTACTTCACTAAACTCCACTTTAGGGTAACTGGAATGCTTCTTTAATGTGATAGTTCAGATCTTTCCAGGTGTAGAGTTTTCTAGTTAATTTATCTCATTCATTTAGCTCAGACAATATTTTTTTTGACCAATTACATATTGCCGTTCAAACCCCGAAGGAGCATTGTTTGAGCAGTGTGTTTATTTGATAATGAAATCTAACCGAATCCTCTTCAATAGTTAATGAGAAGCTAAATAAAGTAACCAATGCTCTAGGTGTTTCTTAATGGGACTGCATTAGTTTAGACTTGTGTTGAAAGGGATGCTAGTATGTTACTAGGGCTTGTCTAGTTAGATTTTTGTCACAAAACATTACAGAAAAAAAAGCAGAATGCTCATTTAAACATGACTCCAATATGATAACTTGTCTGAATAATGAAAAGCTGTTTTTGTCTACAAAGATCTAGCTGATCTTGTTGAGGATGTTGCTAATGCATATTGGTTTTCTAATCATCTTTCAGGCCATAAGCAATGTGCTCAACACAATGGTACTTATTCTAGTTATTTAACTGTCAATAATGGTGTACCACAAGGCTCAGTCTTGGGACCCATTCTCTTTACAATCTACATACAGTAAGTAATGCAGGTCAGAACATTCCAGACGCATCCTTTCATTTCTATGCTGACAATACAGTTGTTTATTGTCGAGCTACAACAGTTGCTATGGTTTTCCAGCTTTTACAGTCTGCATTTGATGATGATCCAGTCAGATTTGTTCCGTCTCAAACTGGTGCTAAATGTGGATAAAACCAAAGGGATGTTGTTTTCAAACAGGAAGTTGGTACCAGCAGTCCTTCCTCCTATCTTATCTATGAATGGTGTTCCTATTGAGTTTGTGGATTCTTACAAATACTTGAGAATCTTGGTCGATGTGCATCTCTTTTAAGCCTCATGTCAAAAACTTGATAAAGAAACTGAAATTAAAACTGGATTCATTTTTCAGAAATAATCTTGCTTAACTCTGAATGCTAGGAAACACCTTGAAGCTGCAACTTTCCTTCCGGCCATTAACTATGGTGATATTATTTACATGAATGTTCCTGCAAGCACCTTGCAGATGTTGGATGCTGTCTGTCATGGTGTGCTAAGGTTCATAACTGGCTGTAACTAACATACCCACCACTAGGGATGCACTGATCCACTTTTTTTAACTTCCGATCCGATCCGGATACCTAAATCTGAATAACTGCCGATACCGGTCCAGTTCTGATATCATGATCATCATTGATTTTATATGAGGCTGTAATAATCTCCTCTCAAGTACAATTTGTACAAATATATACATGCATGTCCAAAAAGGCAACTTGAGGTAAGTTTTATTAATGTTGGATAAGTTTTAAAGTTAGAATTAAATTCTGCTAACACAAAACATGTTATTTTAATCCTAGCTTTAAAGTGGATAATAAAGTGATTAATTTAAGTGATTGTTTAAAGTTATTTTATTTTATTTTTTTAAATAAGGGGCAGATATAAAAAAAATTCTTCTTTCTGCACTCTTTTCATTCAATGTTTTCTTTTTGATGATTTTTTTAAATTTTGTTTCTTTTAAATGAATGAATAAATTAATTAAATAAAATAAAATGTTAAATGGCTTTAAACATCTGCTAAGTTCATGGCATAAACCAACAGACATGTTCCTGTTTTTAGTATTTTATATCACTTTATAATGTAGCTGTTTTTTTTTGTGTTTTTTAATATATATAATTTTCTTGTAATTTTCAATTCAAGTGTTTTTTATGATTGTCTACTGTTGTACTGATAAATAGCTCCTGGAGGGTAAACTATATCTTGGCTGCAAGTATCAAGCTGTGAAATCCTTCATTTTCTACAACTGATGGTTGGTCATTAATTATAATGAAGTTTAGCAACTTCTCTGTAAACATTCGAGCTAGAGGGCTTCAGCGATGTGTTTTTCTTGTTCAATGTGAAGCAGGCAATCTGATTTGGGGCAGCTGCACTCAGTCTGTCCCTCCTCAGAGACGGGCAGACTGAGCGGGGCAGATTGGACACGGCTGGCCGGGGTCGAGTTGCCTGTTTCGGGTTGAGCAAAGAGCAGTGCCCCGCTGAAGCCACAGAGCTCGAATGTCCAACGTAAAACTAACTTTACTGCGGTTTAATGTGGTGCTATGGCTCTGCAGACATTGCTGTCTTGTTTTGTGGTGTTTCTAGTGTAAAATACTTCCACACAGCGGACATGTTTAGATGAAAAGTTGGCTAGCTGTTAGCCACAGTGCTGCTAACTCAGCCCTCATGTTGTAGCTGGCTGCAAACTATGAAATGGATTTCCTGAATGTGAGGCGGGTCTTATTACTCTGGGTTCATGAGACATGCCTCCGTTCAGGAAATCCATTCCGTAGTTTGAAGCCAACATGCATCCTGGATCAGAAATATCGGCAGGTTGGATCGGAAAAATCTGATACGTAAATTATGCTGGTATCAGAGGCCGATACCGAATCGGCCCCATCCCTACCCACCACTGCACCCTGTATTCACTGGTTAACTGGTCATCATTAACTTCACATAAACTCTCTCACTGGTACATTTTCATATTTAAATCATTTCTTAATCTGTTGCCTTCATATGGTATATCTCTTCCTACATGTCACTACATGAGTGCAGCTACAGCGTGCACTCAAGACATTACCTGCAGCGTCCCCTCAGTGTGAACTGAACTCGAGAAAAAGGCCTTTTCTTACTCTGCTTGTGTAACCTGGAACACCTTGCAAAAATATCTGAAGCTGTCGACTTTGACCTATCTAAGGGATTTTAACCAATTGCTAAGTTCAATGCAAAAATCAACGCAGACAAGTTCCTGTTTTTAGTGTTTCTACCTCGTTTCATAATGTAGCTGGTTTTTATTTTGTTTTATATCATTACCCTTATTTACTTTTTATTTTATATGCATTTTATGGCTGATTGTTGTGTGTACCTTATCTGTAGTTTTTGTTTAAAACAGGTCTCTCTTGAAAATGAGTCCTTGTGACTAACCTGTATAAATAAAGGTTGAATGAATGAAAATAGGGTGTCTAAAAGCATCAAGTCCAAAACTTACACTAAAAAGCTTATTCTGACAAAGGACACTATGTTTATTATGTGTGTCTAGCTGTTAAACTGGCTCAAACATAAAAATAAGCAGCTCTGACATGTTGCCATTTTTTTATTAACTATCTGACCTCTCAAAGTAGATTCCTAAAAACGGACACTTGAAAATCAGTTTATCACATTCTAGATTCATATGCTGTGCCCCGCACTTCTGGAAATCACTCCAAACCTGTAAGAGCACATTTTGTTCTCACGTCATAAAAGGAAATGACAAAAGCAATATTGTTTGCCAGAGTGATATATGAGCTCCTCGTCAGACGTCTGCGGTGGAGCATTGCTATGTTTTTTTTTTTTGCTTCTCGCACGTCTTCTGTTGCTAAAAAGTTGTCAGTGAGCAATTAATTAAAGTCTGCCTTACCAAAGTACGTCAGCCACCAGGCCTGGAAGTCACATAAAGATCCCTCCGGATGGGTCTCACTCTGGGGAACGGACAAAAGAAACATGTTTGGTTTTTTTTAAACACCACGCAAATAAAAGCCACAGTCTGTTTGAGTGTAATAAAAAGTAACTCACCATGACGTACGCTACACTGTCGAAGAAAGCGGCCACAGTCAGGCTAAGAATCATCTTCTAAACCATGAAAGTTTAAGAAAAAGACGTGAAGACAGGTTAGTTAACAACACTCAGAGTGAAAATGCCACTGCGTTTAAACTCACTCGCGGAAAAAGGCCAATTATAGCTCAAATGATCACTGATGTGGTTGACAGCTCGTAGAAAAGACTTAACTGAAACTGAAGTTTTTACTTTATTTGAAATAAATACAGAATCTGCTCGCAACAGAATTTCTAAAACAGAGCTACACCAGTTTAATTATTCAGAAGCATTGGTAACAGACTGCAGCTGTGGTGGGCACACAAAGACAAACCCACGCACACACAGAGCCCGATTTCAATTTGTGTCTAGCAATGACCCTGCCAAGGCTACAGCGGAGGAAGAGGGTGAGGAAGAGGAGGAGGGGGATGGGAAGACACAATAAGCCTGCAGGAGGGCCTTGAGAGCACTAAAGACTATTGACTGACAGATAACCTTTTGAAAGAGGATGCAAGTAAGGAGAGGGTTTATGTTGTATAAGAGGAGAAATGAGGAGAGGAGGTGTGGGATCAGGAGGAGGCAAGGTCGTTTTTAGCCGTGTGGTCCAGAGGTAATGGGATCCACCGGAAGCTCCTCACTAAGCTGTCATTTACTTCAGATTAGGAGGATAACGTGCAGCTCTGCTAAACCTAACAGACCTGCTGGACTGGCTTCAGAATAAAAAAACCTTCCACAAGCTGCACACTCACATCAGCACACTTAGAAAAAAAAAATCCCAATGGATAAAAGAAGGAAAAGGAGGAGAAAAATTCCATAAATATTAAGTTTGTTTAAACTGGTTCATTTGAACAGGGGTGGTGGTGTGGGGGAGCACAAGACGGCAGCCACTATCACAGAATGACCATGAGCCAATTAGCTCCCCCAATTCATTAATCTGTGCATTTTAATTGGGTTCAATTATGCTGAGATTTGCCATGGCTAATTGAACATATTTCCGGTGGAAATGAAGCAAACAGAAAGGAGAAAGGGCGGTCGAAACGTACCGCGCAGAGCAAAGTCTGGATTTACCTGAGCCAAGGAGTGATACCGCCGAAGCAGCCAGATTACAAACAGCATGAAAAGGCTGAGGAGGAAATAAAAGCACACTGAGATTTACTCAACATGGGTCATTTTTCTAACACATAAAAATTCAAATTAATCCAATCTATACAAAGGCAGGAATAACAAAATTATGCTAATATTCTTTAACATGTAAGATCATTAAAGAGCAACCAAAGACGTGTTAAACTATTTTTACTTTTAGGCTTTCCAAATGAGTAATAGCAACACAACTAGAACTTTGCACGTATTTATTTAGAGCACCTTATCGTCCTATTTTTACAAGCTTTCACACTCTGGTGCACAGTTACCACAGTGGTCAATACAGAGTGTGGCACGTGCACAACACTGCAAACCACAGACTTGTAGATTAACACAGAAATTAGTCAAAACATCCCCCAACAACAAATAGAATAATAATTTTTACTTGAATAAAACATACAAAAAAAAACACCTCAGCAGCACGGTGACTCAGTACAGCTGTTGTCTCTCAGTGAGAAGGTCGCCAGATCGAATCCCAGCCTGGGACCTTTCTGGGTGGAGTTTGCAAATTTTCACCGTCAAGTGTGGGTTTTCTCCTGGTACTCCGGTTTCCTCCCACAGACCAAAAACACGCATGTTAGGCTGACTGGTAACTCTACATTGTCCCTAGGTGTGAGTGAGTAACTCGTTTGTTTCTCTGTGGTCCTGTGATGGACCTGCGACCTGTCCAGGGTCTCCTCCGCCTCTCGCACAGACTGCTGGACATGGGCACCAGGGACCACCGCAATGCAGAAAGGAAGTAACGGGTAAATACAATTCAATTCAATTCAGTTTATTTATATAGCGCCGTCACCACAGAAGTCGTCTCAGGGCAATGAACAGAAACATTCACATACATAAAAAGCCTATTAGCAAAAGTTTATCTATCTATGGAAGCCAGCAGATTGTGTTTACGGTAATCTTCACTTTGTCGCAGTCTCCCATCCTGAGCAAGCACATTGGCAACAGTGGAAAGGAAAAACTCCCTTTTAACAGGAAGAAACCTCCAGCAGAACCAGGCTCAGGATGAGCAGCCATCTGCTTCGAATGGCTTGGGAGAAAAATGGATACTTGGATGAAACAAAAGGGGAAAATTGACTGCAAAAGTTAATGTTAAAGCTAACTGTTGCATCCATCCCTACACATTGTAGCAGTGAGAAATACCATAAACATCCAGGTTTTCCACTATACTCATATGTCAGACAATGCTTGACTACAGTCACCAAATTTAGAGCACTTAGTAAAAGTTTTAAATTTACCTCTAACTTTTGTTGCATTTAAATGCTCCATCTAGGATATACCATTAAAACACTACTTAATATTTATGACCATTTCAACAAGTGCAGAATCTCAGAGAAAACAATTTCTTGTAAGGACCAACAGATGCCACGTCGCAATTTCTCTTTTAAACGATGGTCAGAAAGCTCATTAAAATTATTAGTATTAAGATTGAGGCAACAGGAGAGATTGGATAAAGTTAAGATAAGAGTAAAGATATTATATAAATCAGAGGCAGAGCAGCACACAGCTGTACCTCAGTTTGCCTCTCTGCACTGTGACGGTGCTATAGTTTTTTACAACACAGATGAAACACTGTTCATTAGGAGTATCACTGATAATTTCTCTCATTTCCCTGAAGGAGCAAACTGTTGCAAGAAGCATTCATTTGGTTGCACTTTGTAACTTTGCACCTACTGATGTCCCTAAATTACATTCTTTGTTCCTTTACCGTCGATGGCTTTAATTACAGCTGACATGAAACATGTTTACAGCTGTCAAAGCAAAAGCTCTAAAACCTCATAGCTGAGAACCTACAATTAACACAAAATTAGTTATAGCCATAAAATTCAGTTTATTCATTTCTTCTGACTGGCAGACAAATTGGAATCAAAAGATGAAATGTTCTATGAGTCTTGGATCATAGGTTCACATTTTTCACTTGTCAAGAAAAAAACTAAATCTTCCAAGAAGATTATGGGGATTTCTTTCAAAGGGCTCGTTCATAAAATAATTCCACAACATAGGGGCACAGACGAGTCCATCCTTATCCTCTCTACTAATCACAAAGTCAGCCATGTCACCCAAAAACGGGAGATTTCAGAAATGGAGGCGACAGCAAAGAACCAAAAGAGACGTGAAGCAGAACTCAGCTGTGTTGACGTGGAGCACAATTAAAGGTGTGACGGACATCTCTTTTGGACTGTTTTCAAAACATGATGAATTAACTCGGTTTAGCTATTCTTTTTGTGGTTAACTATTATTTGAAACAAAATACAAGATGCTGTGCATTATCAGCGATATTTCCACATTAATAAATCTGGTCTTGTTTAATTTGGTGGCTGGGTGCTCACACACTATTGTCATCAGTTTATCACATTACTGAGCCATGGCACTGCAACTTTGTCGAACGTTACACCTCTGTTACTACATTACCAGAGAAGCTGAAAGAAGGAGGCTTGCTTGATTCTTATGATGCTTGATTGAACTTGATTGATTTTTGAACAAACTGATATCCCTCAGTCCATTTTCTGGTTCTGATCATCTTTAACGCCTGGTTCTGATCTAACTTTCAGAAAGCAACAATTTGATGTACATCAGCAACTAACTGAATCTTTCCATCAACCATTTTGAATTGGGCTGAATTTTGCCAAAGCTAATTGATATTAGCAAGCAAAAATGGCTATAAATCAGATATTTAGTTAAAATCCAGCGTGGTCGTAGCCAAGAATCATGCACTAAACACACTCTGTGCACAAGATTTGTATTAAAAATTGTTGGTTGCACAGCTAGATTACCTTTTAGAGTCAGCCCATTCAAGATGGCTGCCTCAGCTAATCAACATTAGCAAAAACAAAAAGAACTATGAGTAAATTTTACAGATACTGTGATCGGATGCGGTATTGCCTGAGTGTCATTCACAAACAGCATTCCAAGTGCTAACAGACTGTTATTTTCAAGATTTGACCAAAGCAGCTTTAACATAATTAACATTAAACACAAGATGATCTCTTAAAGGTCAAGAGACTACAAGGCAGTCTATCTGTAAAATGATTAAAATTAGGGAAGAACGATATTATCAGTACGGTATCGGCCGATATTGGCGATAAAGTTAAATATCGGCCATTCCATCAAAATAACTCACCGATATAAAAAGCACTTGTGTGTGTATACGTATATATATATATATATATATATATATATATATATATATATATATATACACACACAAACACACTGCTTGGCCAAAAAAAAGTCTCCACCAAAAAAGGTCACACACTAATATTTCATTGGATCGCCTTTAGCTTTGATTACATCATGCATTCTCTGTGACATTGTTTCGATAAACTTCTGCAATGTCACAAGATCGATGACGGGCGCGTCACTTCACCTGCCTCTCTTCTTACCCTGATGCACCCATCACTCTGGAACAGGGTCAATCTGGACTCATCAGACCACATGACCTTCTTCCATTGCTCCAGAGTCCAATCTTTATGCTCCCTATCAAATTGAAGCCTTTTTTTCCAGTTAGCCTCCTGATTAGTGGTTTTCTTAAGGCTACACAGCTGTTCAGTTCCAATCCCTTGGGTTCCCTTCCCATTGTGCGTGTGGAAATGCTCTTACTTTCACTATTAAACACAGCCCTGAGTGCTACTGTTGTTTTTCTTTGATTTTATTTCACCAAATGTTTAAGTGATTGCCGATCACGATCATTCAGGATTTTTTCCGGCCACATTTCTTCCTCGGAGACGATGGATCCCCACTATCCTTCCAGTTTTTAATAATTTGTTAGACAGTTCTTAACCCAATTTTAGTAGTTTCTGCAATCTCCTTAGATGTTTTCTCTGCTTGATGCCAATGATTTGACCCTTCTCAAACAGACTGACATCTTTTCCACGACCACATGATGTGTCTTTCCACATGGTTGTTTAAGAAATGAGAAGCAACTCATTGCACCAGTTGGGATTAAATAACTTGTTGCCAGATGAAAGATAATCACCCATGCAGTAATTATCAAATAGGAGGCTCGTACCTGTCTGCTTAGTTAAATCCAGGTAGCGACTTTGTTTTGGCCAGGCAATGTGTATTAATCGCTGTTTTTGTATGACAACCCAGTGACAATGAGATTTGAGTTGATCATTAAGATTGTATAAAAACATATTGGAATTCTCTTTTAAATTATTTTTTAATTTAAGAAACTGTCAAGTATATCTATTAATTGTAATTATTATTAATGTATTAATACACTACTACTTACAGTGTATGCCCTTTTCACTTAGGTCTAGGAAAAAAATATATAGATATTGGTATCGTTTATCGGCCAAATAAGCTTTAACATATTGACATATCGGATATTGGCCAAAAATCCAATATCGTCCACCTCTAGTCAAAATGCCTTCTTTTTTTTCTAGACTGTCTTACCGAGCAGTGAAGACATAACTAACATGTTGTGGCATATGTACATTCCTCTTTTACTCCATCAAGCCTTTTTATAGAAATACTGCTTGGAATATGTGTTGAGTAGACTATTTGGTGGACAATTAAACAATTTTCTTGTGGTGGTCTTATTTTTTGTAAAGACTTGACTGAAGAGTGTCATGGAAAAAATAAAAGCATGTTAATCATTTTAAGAAGAGCGTGCTTTGGAGTATTTAACTTTCAAGTTTGTGCTTATTCCAACTACAAAAACACACCATTTACACCTACACTGAATCCAGAAAGTCCTCTTGCACATACTTCATTTATAATAAACAATATCTGTTTAAAACGCTGGCAGAAGGGGCAGCCAGCGATATGCATTTCTTCAAGGAATAATGAACTTTTATTCTGATAAAATAATTATTAATAATAATAATTATTGCTGATGTTTATTGCCTGAAACATTGGCCCAAAAAAAATGTTTAAAAAGTTTCTCCTCATCAAACTAAGCTTTGTGCATTTTAATGTGTCAATATGAAAAATAAAATCATTCGAAAATTCAATAATTAGAAGGAAATGCAACTTAAAGAAATATTTACCATCCTAGTAAGGAGAAGGTTCCTGTGGCTCGTTTTACTGATAAAATCACCACCTGCAAATTAAAAACAATTGATTACTCCATGGCTCCGACCAACGCGTATTAAAGTGGTTAGCTGAGTTGCCCTGTGATTTGTGTTTGTTTTTAGGTAAAACACTCGCACTTGGGAAGCACGTTCAGAAGTGCAATGCAAATAGTGCACTGTGATCAAAATAATCAGTAGCTTAGACAGCACCAGGCTGACAAGTCTGCCATTTGTTTAAGCTTGCCTTCTGTGTGTGGTTGTGTACGTGTGTATGTGTGTGTGTGCAAACATGCTGAAGACTGGAGGAATAACGAAATTAAACTTGCACTCAGGGAACCCAAGCATAAGAAACACAAACATCTGCAAAGTACTGACACCTGAGACGTGCGCTCAAAGGTGTCTGCGAACGTCACGTTAGTACGTATTCGACCTATTTTACCGTGTCGTAAACAAAGAAGGGCTGGTAAGTGACAGCTGAGAGATGTGAAATGCAGATGCATGCAGATGTGATAATGAGGCTAGAAACTGGGGGTTTGCATATTTGTTAAACATTAAACTTGGAGAACCCAAAGACGTAAGGAAAGGAGAAGGGAAAGAGCGAAGGAATGATGAGAATGATAAATGTGTGACTCAGTTTCAGCTTCGGGGGAAGAGAAAAGGCCAGCAGCCGTCTCGCATGCAAAGCAGAGAGACGGGAAACTGAGATCTGTAACATCACAGTTATGGTCAAAAGCTGTATCTGCGGGACAGTCAAGACAAACAAAAACTTCCTTTGATGAGTCTGATAATCTACAATCATTCATGCAAGAGGCAACAGGAACACCCTTTCCAGAATATTCTCTTGATTTCAGAGTTTTATGTAAATTTATAGTTGTTGATTTTAGATTTTTAGACATTCTAAACTGCAGAACTGCTAACATTTTACATACATCTCGCCTTATTCTAATATTTTAATTAAACTTGAACAAAATGAATGCCAACAGGTCACTGCAGGAATGATAAAAAGGCCTAGATTTATGATTATTTTCTCAACAAATGGCTTTAACAATACTTTTTTTTAAATCTACTGTTTTGTACCAAAATCAGACCGATTTATTTTTCCTCCCACATAATCTGGGATTATATTAAACACCCACATTTTGATCACCATAATCAATATAGTAGAAAATATCATGGATTTGTTAAAGAAAAAGCATAAAGTAATGGTTAAAGCCAAGGAGTTGTTGCTTATAATTTTTATAATACAACTTTCACACTAATGTGAAAAAAAAAAAGAATATTTGTTGCTAAACATGAAAAATATGTGCATTAATAATCACAAGTATAATTAATCAGTTATCAAAATACATTGTTACTGATCATTTTTGCAGTTAGCTGATTAATCACTTATCACACGTTGCAATCAATTCAGTTAATTAGCAACGATGAAATGTTACAATACCGACTTAAATTAAGATCAAATTTGCAATTAAAGTTTTGCAAATTTTAAAAACTTTTCTAAACTGATAAATATAAATCAATACATGAACCAGTGACAAATAGATAAATTACTTTAATAGCACTTAATAAAGATTTTCAGAACACACTCCTATTTTTGCAACACTTTTGACTTTTTAAACATTTGTCTACTGTTACACGAGGAAAAACAATAAATGAACAAATCTTCAGTTCATTTGATGCAAATGTGTGCGATTTGCATCAACTCCTCTTCATGTCTGCTAATTGGAGCCATGCAGACCATCATTCTGCTCAGTCCACTAACACACACACTTCTTGCCTTGTTCTAATATCTTAATTAAACTTGAACAATTGATGCCAACACGTCACTGCAGGAATGTCATATGTAACATGTAAATATGAATGTAAAATGATGATGACTACAAAAAGGTTGGAGTTGGACCTGTTTGTTACAGCATACTGAGATTACCTTTGTTATGAATTATATAAAAACTTATTCAACGGAATAACAAAATCTAAAACTTTACAAATTACGAGTCTTGGAAATGAAATTATGGCTGCATGAGTACTCATACCTAAATTTTAAAAAGCTGTCTAAACTCATTTGGTTCATTTTGTTAAGTTAGGGGTCATTATTGATCAAGTACTTGCACTTTTAATGTTTACCTTCACTTACAGCCCTGTTTTTATCAGAAAACAAGTAGCTTTATCAGGGAGGAGGAAACAGATGATGAGTTTAAATGGTAGGTAGTTCATTTCACCTGTTATCACCTAGAAATATGCAGGTGTCAGAGCTCCGTTCAAGCAACTAGTCAGTCGACAAAACATTCAAATCAGATTCATGTGAAGTTCGTGTTTACATTAAATTAGCAGGCTAGCACGTACGTAGCTTACTCGTTTCATAGCAAATGAGCTAAAACTGTAGCTGGTTACTTACACATCGATAGTCTTTCGAGTCTGCATTAAAAAACACGCAGCGAGATTTGTTGCTTATTAAAGCAGAGTCCTGACTGTTCATTTTAAGACACTTTCAGGTGAGAATTTATCTATTTATTGTGTTTGTTTGGCGCTTCCTTTGCATTTCCTGTTTCTACGGCGCGCACAAAAGGACAAAAAGGATCATAACGCCAACCATTCCACTTGCATGAAGAAGCTCTGCTTTGTGGTCCAAAGTTACCTTTCTTTCATTCTTTCTTTCGTTCTTTCTTTCTTTCCTTCTTCCTTTCTTAAGATTTCTAAAATGATTTACTTGAACTATTCATTTTTTTTTTTTGCATAATGAAAAAAAGATTTTATTAAGAACTAAATTATTCATTAAATAAATAAATAATTAGAACAAGAACTTTAAAAGACCTTTTTTGAACATTTGCTGCCTTTTCACAAATGTTTAGTCTAGTCCTTGTGCCTGAATATATTAACATGTTAGTAAAGTATTATAAATAAACAATGGGTAAAAACTATTTTAAGTCACTTAACTTGAATTTATTTAGGACAATGTAATAGCTCTGATTTCATTGACTGTAAACAAATAACACAGCATGACAAACGTAAAACAGCATTTTTTTTTTCTTTTACAACAGAGTAATTTGCAAAAACTTTGCTTTTAGCCTGTTCTTTATGCTGTTAGAACATTGTCCTTTAGAAAAATCACCACACACCATGCTGAAATAGTTTTTAGCTAATAGATGTGTAAAATAACAGCTGTAAGTAAAACTTATAATAATTTTTAAAAGCCTGAAGAACTTCTCCTCAAGCCTATTTAAAAAAAAATATATATAGCTTATTGAAATCATTAAATATTGTTCAAACACAGCTTTCCTTGAAGGAATGCCTTTTGCACACTGCCTTGAACACCAGAGTTTTAAATAAAGATCATACATGCAGCCATTTTAAACTGAGTTGACTTCAAACATCAGTTGATCAATAAACACATTAAACTGTCTGTTTCATTCATTCACATCTGTCCAGTGATTCATTGGATATTTTGCTGACAGACAGACAGAGATGACTCCAACAGTTGCAAACATTTTTGCAAAGATGTAATGAAAGATTGGATTGAGAATGACTCTCAGCCACTACCACCCTTAATTTTAGCTCAGTTTCTATAAAAGTAGATGACTGAAAGCCATTTATGTGTTTGCTAAGTTTAATTAGCTGTGGCAGCCATCTTGACCCAAACATTAATCAGTTTTAAATGTCTCAGTTTCTGCATTTTGTGGACGTTGCAATGGTTTGGTTTGTTTTTACCGGTTTGGGTTTTCAGTAGAATCTTGTTTTTCTAATTTATTTTCAGTACATATGTTTGTGTATATTCTATCAATGTTTTGTTATCTGTTCAGCCTGGCAGTTTTTATGTTGGTTCATGCATACTCTAAACCTGTCATTTACCTCAATCTTCTTCTATTTGTCCTGTCACACACATTTGTCACTCAACTGTCATCATCTCAGCTGCATTCACTCACCTAATCAACTTCCCTTGTATATACTGTACCCTTGTAGACAAGTCTTCAGTTGTTTCCTGATTTTTCTTTCCTGCCTGTTTCATTTTGTTTTCATTTATCAAAGCACGTTAGAATTGAACCTGCTGCCTTTTTGCGTTCACATCATCAAACGTTATGGTGGATGAACATCCAATACCAACTAAGGTTCTGAGCGTTTCGATAGAGTATGTTCACTGGTTCATGAAATATTTTGAAATGAAAGCCAGTAATAAAAGTGTGTTGTTACATTGCTGCTTAGTGGTCTGTCTTCTTGTGTAAGGTGTTAACTGTGGCAGAGTTAGGATAAACATCTGAGGTGGTTCAGGTTCATGCTCACTCATGTTATTCCACGTGTAAAAATGAACTGATTAAAAAAATCTCTGCAGGACTTTGACTGATTGTTTTATTTTCATGTACAGTATGTGCAGAAGAGCAAGAAGGGTGGAGACTGAAAGGCGAAGGTGGGTGTGTTGCACTCTGCTGTGTTTTTGTGTGTTCCTGAATGCCCAGCTGCACCCAGTGGCCTTTCAGCTCATTACTGTGGGTTAGTCCAGCAACAATGAATGAAATCGGTTATTTTCATTGTTTTCACCTCCAGGTGTTATAACAGATGGGACTCTTTGACGCACACTTTGAGTACGGTTCACATTTATACTCACTTGTGTTACTCAGATTCTTTTTTTTTATTTCAAGAGGTTGATTCTAATCAAACCATAAAATGAATTGTGTTAACTTTATTCTGAGACTTGAAGCAACACTGTTTTGTTTCCGGATCCATAGCAAATGCTCCTGTAGAATGGAAACCATAACAGCATTTCCCTCCCTGACTCTTAAGTTTCCAAGTTTCAAGGTGTTGTCACTTGAAACTGAGTCGACAGGCTGCATTCCTGAACCTGCAAGGAATTCTTTAAACATATTTTCCATAGTTGGTGGCTGAAGGAAAACATGTTCACACAGCTGATGGGTTGTTTTTCCATCTTTCTCTTTTACTTAATAACGCAAAAACATCTTAACATTATTACGGTCTTAGCCTGACCACAACACCTTCAGCTGTAGACTGAGTCCACCGAGGTGCTCCACAGAACACCACAGGAAGTCCTTCAAACTTTTAACTCCTCCCCCTCTCTGCACATACGACAATAAAATTAATCCTGCACCGCAATAAACACTTTAATGTTTCTGTATGCACATGTTTTGGGCCTTAATTGTTTAAACTTTTATATTCTCTGTTATTATATATATATATATATATATATATATATATATCAGAGTCAGAGATTCTTTATTGTCATTCGCACCTCATGTGGTACATGTGGTGGAGCGAAATTATGTACACAAGGTCCCAGTTACATCCAACAATAAAATGTATAAGAAAAACAGTAATAACATCTACGATGTGAACTAAGAAAAACATCAACTAAATATACACTAAGCACTCATAACATAAAACATTGAACATCAGCACAAACATGAACATGAGTCTGTGTGAGCGGATGTGCACGCATGAACACATCAACATTGAAACAGATCAGCAGCAACATGAAACAGATCAGCAGCAACATGAAACAGATCAGCAGCAACATGATATGGTTTTTCACAGTGATTATTCTAGTTAGAGATTCATGAGTCTAACAGCCTCAGGGTAGAAGCTGTTCCTCAGTCTAGTGGTTCTACACTTAATGCTCCTTAACCTCCTTCCTGAGGGGAGTGGGGCAAAAAGTGTGTGTGCTGGGTGAGTAGGGTCTTCATGATGCAGGTGGCCCTCTTCCTGCATCTGGAGGTGTAGATGTCTGTGATGGCGGGGAGGCTGATTCCGACAGATTTCTGTGCAGCCTTCACCACTCTCTGCAAAGCTTTTATTTCTGCAGCTGTGCAGCCTCCATGCCACACATTGATGCTGGAGCACAGGATGCTCTCCACTGCACACCTGTAGAAGGAGGTGAGGACTGAGCTTCCCAGACCAGCTCGCCTCAGCCGTCTGAGGAAGTAGAGTCTCTGATGAGCTTTCTGGATCAGGCTGGTGGTGTTGTTGCTCCAGCTGAGGTTGTCATTCATGTGTACACCCAAGTACTTGTAGCTGGAGACCACTTCCACCGCAGATCCTCTTATGTTCAGGGGGTGTAGATGTTTTTATTCCTTCTGAAGTCCACAATCATCTCCTTTGTCTTCTTCACATTGATGTGAAGGTTATTCTCTTTGCACCAGCTCTCCAGGTGTTCCACCTCTTGCCTGTAGCTGGACTCATCATTGTTTGTGATGCATCCCACCACCGCTGTATCATCTGCAAACTTTACAATGTGACAGCCTGGATGGGTAGCTGCACAATCATACGTGAGCAGAGTAAACAGGAGGGGGCTCAACACACATCCCTGAGGAGAGCCAGTGCTGAGGGTTATGGTGGAGGAGGAGAAGTTGTGGATCCTCACTAACTGTGGTCTGTTTGTTAAAAAGTCTAGTACCCAGTTGCAAATGGAGGGGCTTAGTCCTAGTGTGGATAGTTTGTCCATCAGGGTTTGGGGGATCATGGTGTTGAAGGCGGATGTGAAGTCCACAAAGAGCATACGGACGTAAGAGTTTTTCTGCTCCAGGTGGTTGAGCGCAGTGTGGACCACAGAGGAGATGGCATCCTCTGTTGATCAGTTCTCACGGTATGCATACCGATGAGGGTCCTCGTTCATGTTGATGGTTGTTTTGATGAGAGTCATGACCAGTTTTTCGAATCATTTAGCAACTATCGGGGTGAGGGCCACTGGCCGATAGTCATTCAGACCAGTCACTGTAGAGATTTTTGGGACTGGGATGATGGTGGCAGTCTTCAGGCAGGTGGGAACTGTCTCCAGGGTAAGTGAGGTGTTAAAGATGTCTGCCAGCACCTCACAGAGCTGATCAGCACATTCCTTCAACACTTTTCCAGGGATGTTGTCTGGGCCAGTTGCTTTGTGCGGATTGATCCTCCTGAAGGTACTCCTTACTTCGGCTGAGGTCACGCTGAGATGCTCTTCATCCGGTGGTGAGGTGAGTCTGGTGCTGGGTGGTCTGTTCGGGTCTTCAAAGCGTGCATAGAACTTGTTGAGGGCATTAGGCAGAGATGGGTCTTTGGGGCATTGTTCGCTCCTTCCTTTATAATCTGTTATGCACTTAATGCCCCTCCACATGCTCCGAGGGTCTTGTGAGATGAACTGACCTTCGATCCTCTTTGCATATGTGCCCTTGGCCCTCTTAATACCAGCAACCAGCTCTTTTCTTGTCCTACTCAGCTCCTCTGAGTTTCCAGACCTGAAGGCAGTGTTCCTGGCTTCCAGCAGGGTACGCACCTCTGCATTCAGCCAAGGTTTTCTGTTTGGGTAGCTTTTAACATTTCTGATAGTGGAGACAGTGTCAGTACATGTACTAATGTAACCCAGAACTGAGGATGTGTATTGGTCAAGATCAAGCGATCCTCCATTTTCAGCAGCTTCTCTGAAAACCTGCCAGTCTGTTCGGTCAAAACAATCTCTCAGTATGGGGCCACTGTCCTGGATCCAGCATTTAACTTTCTTTTGTACTGGTCTGGAGCGTCTCAGCGGGGGCATGTAAGCAGGAGCCAGGAAGATTGAGATGTGGTCTGACAGTCCTAGGTGGGGGCGGGGTTCGGCTTTGTATGCATCTTTTACGTTCGTGTAAACACGGTCCAGCGTCTTGTATATATACAGGTCCTTCTCAAAAAATTAGCATATTGTGTTAAAGGTCATTATTTTCCATAATGTAATGATAAAAATGACATTTTCATATATTTCAGATTCATTGCACACCAACTGAAATATTTCAGGTCTTTAATTGTTTTAATACTGATGATTATGGCATACAGCTCATGAAAACCAAAAATGCTTGTCCCAAAAAATTAGCATATTTCATCCCACCAATGAAAGACAAGTGTTTTTAATACAAAAAACGCCAACCTTCAAATAATCATGTTCAGTTATGCACTCAATACTTGGTCGGGAATCCTTTTGCATGAATGACTGCTTCAATGCGGCGTGGCATGGAGGCAATCAGCCTGTGGCACTGCTGAGGTGTTATGGAGGCCCAGGATGCTTCGATAGCGGCCTTAAGCTCATCCAGAGTGTTGGGTCTTGCATCTCTCAACTTTCTCTTCACAATATCCCACAGGTTCTCTATGGGGTTCAGGTCAGGAGAGTTGGCAGGCCAATTGAGCACAGTAATACCATGGTCAGTAAACCATTTACCAGTGGTTTTGGCACTGTGAGCAGGTGCCAGGTCGTGCTGAAAAATGAAATCTTCATCTCCATAAAGCTTTTCAGCAGATGGAAGCATGAAGTGCTCCAAAATCTCCTGATAGCTGCATTGACCCTGCCCTTGATAAAACACAGTGGACCAACACCAGCAGCTGACATGGCACCCCAGTGACTGTGGAAACTTGACACTGGACCTCAAGCAATGTGAATTCTGTGTCTCCTCTCTTCCTCCAGACTCTGGGACCTTGATTTCCAAAGGAAATGCAAAATTTACTGTAATCGGAGAACATAACTTTGGACCACTCAGCAGCAGTCCCAGGCGAGATGCTTCTGACGCAGTCTCTTGTTCAAGAGTGGCTTGACCTGGGGAATGCGGCACCTGTAGCCCATTTCCTGCACACGCCTGTGCACGGTGGCTCTAGATGTTTCTACTCCAAACTCAGTCCACTGCTTCCGCAGGTCCCCCAAGGTCTGGAATCGGCCCTTCTCCACAATCCTCCTCAGGGTCCGGTCACCTCTTCTGGTTGTGCAGCGTTTTCTGCCACACTTTTCCCTTCCCACAGACTTCCCACTGAGGTGCCTTGATACAGCACTCTGGGAACAGCCTATTCGTTCAGCAATTTCTTTCTGTGTCTTACCCTCT